ACCGGTATTCGGTATGAACCGGTATACCGCCCAGCACTACTTTTAATTAATGTTTTTTTTAATAGCTGGTCTTGTTAATCACTTTCTATAGAACTATACAAATTCATACTTTCTTATATAATGTGTACATTTTAATATTGTATAATTATTTGTAAAAAAAATTATACTAACTTGTAATTTACAGAAATCAAGAAAAGAGAATATGCTTAACCATGTTACAGATGGGTGGTTTTTGAAACCACAGTGTTATTGAAAATTTCTCCAGACACATTCCCATAAGGTCATAGAGTTCTCTATTAATAATGTAATATTTATTCCAAAGTATGTTGTTGTTACCAACCACTGATCTATAATAGAATATAATATAGATCAGTGTTACCAACACATATTTCATTGATTTGCTGTGCACCAAAACAAAACATACTGAGTCTTAGCCTAATCCACACGAAAGTGTCATTTAAATTTCTAGATTTAACTTTTGGTTGTGCTACCAACCTTTCAGTTACAATCCTACACTTTGCTCCATTCTGAATATGGAAAGGAATAAAAACAGAATAAATGAACAAGGATTAGAATAAATTCTATAGAAGTAATCAAGTCTTGATCTCTGACAGTGCCTCTCCTCCATCCATGGTGGGTCTTAAGCAATGCTCCAGAGAAGATGGGACAAGCTCTGTGTATCTGCTCGCGCAGTGCCATCACCTTTGACAACAAGAAATACTACTTCATCCAGAAACTAGACGAAGGGTAAGACTAGCCAGCTAGACTATTCAGTCCTTAAAACACTTGAAAGCTTACTGGAAGTATGTGAGTCCAGCGATAGAAAGATATCAAGGAAAAATATGTTAGAATATTGTTTTAACATTTAAATGATACTGAAAAGATTACCATTTTAGTATTAGATATATTTAACAGACACTTTTATCCATAGCTACTTACAAAAAAGAAACATCATGTGCAGTTTCCCGTGATTCACATTAGTACACAAGCAGAAAAGAAAGAAAGATTTTTCTGTAAACAGATGGGTGTTACGGTACATTCCTTTATTTCTAGATGTGATTTAGTGAAGTGTCTGTAGAAGAAGTGTGTCTTTGGTTGTTTCTTAGAGGTTTTGATGGTTACAGCAGATCAGGTGGATGATGGGAGTTTATTCTACCAAAGAAGTACAAAGAGAGTAAAGGTTTTTGGAAATGGATTGGTGTCTAATTGTGAAGGAACAGCCATGCACTGCTTGCTCACTGACTAAATTACAGGAGGGGCTACTTTTACATTTTCATTCATTCATTTCGCAGATGCGTTTATCTACAGAGACTTGCAAAAAAGAAACAAAGCAATTGGTCAAAGAGCTAATGATTTTTGTAATATACAATGCCAGGTTATTAAACCACTAGATTAGGAAATATGGATAGTTGTGTGTGTGTTTTTGTGATTATGCATGTCAGTTTTCATGATGGTTTTCTCAAGTGAAATTTATTAGATAAAGCATAAGAAAAAATGGTCTTTCATCTTAACTTCATTCTTTGCTTCTTCTAGAGGTTTCAGCTATGTGGATCTGGTAGAAGGTGCGCATGATGGCCGCTTCTACGCTCTAAAGCGGATCCTTTGCCATGACCGCGAGGGCCGCAAGGAGGCTCAGACCGAGGTGGAGATGCACCGCCTTTTCAACCATCCCAACATCCTCAGCCTGACCTCACACACCTTCATGGAGCGCGGCGGGAAGTGTGAGGCCTGGCTGTTGCTCCCATACATCAGTGTAAGTGGGCCCTATTCTGCTTTTCTGTTCCAGGCCTCTAACAAGTCCAAGAGTCCAGTGACATCTGAGATGTGCAGTATGACATTTAAAAGCGTTTCATGTGCTGAATTGTTCCTGTGCAGAAGGGAAGTCTGTGGTCTGTTCTGGAGAAGCTGCGGGATAAGGGGAGCTCTATGCCTGAGAGCCGCATACTACACATTCTGCATGGCATCTGTGAAGGCCTCAAAGCTATTCATGACAAAGAATATGCACACAGGTATTGAGAGTAAAATTCAATTTAAACACAAATTTGGTCAATTATGTTATTAGGTTTGTCTTTGGTTTGCATTGAAGGTGAAATTTGGGGAAAAGAACCTGTTGCTTAATAGTAATTAATGTAATTGGAAACACTTTGCATTTTCCAACTGCATTAGTTAAAGGGGTCATATGATGCGATTTAAATTTTTCCTTTCT